AGGAATAGCGCTTATTTTCCAAACTCGATAACCTGGAAACGATGGAGTTTGGATACATACTGCTTCTTACAAATTTAGCTTAAAATTGAGAGAGATTTGAAATATCGAATAATGCACAGGGTGTTCCATTTTAAAATATGCAATTTTTGTGTGTTGCGTCTTAAGACCAACCCCGTATAATTACTAGTAGATATTGAAGAAGCCTAAAAGGATTGTATAAAACTTTTTGCAATACTTTGTATATTTTCCCCGATAATCGATCGTTTCCAGACTTATCAGCGACCTTGTGCTCCATGTCTCACCAACCCTAAAAATTTTAAATGCTAATCTCTCATGCCACACATATTTCGAGAGCTCTCTAAAATGAAACAGATCTTTCCAAAGTGTTTTGCTACTGAAATACTGAAAAGAAATGAAAAGTACCATATACTTTATTTTATGGTGTAAGATTTACTTACAAATACTGCCCCCGAAACGTCCTAAATAGTACCTATATGATTCCGAGGAAAATCGCTATAGATAGTGTAGATGAGACAGAAAATAGAAATGGAAATTTACAATAAATTAAGCAAATAGCAATGTTTATTGAAAATTCCTTCGACCAAAACGCCAGAAGAGAAGTAGCTTTCTACCTATACCACTTACTGATAATAAACAAGAATAGGTTCACACGAATTAGCATAGTGTAATTGCGGAAAAAATCACAAAAAGCGATTTAATTTTTCACGTTCGAACAATTGATAGTAGGTAACACTTACAACAGATGGGACAAATATAAAACTGAAGTGGTGAACAATAAAGATAAAGAAATACGGAATGGATTACGGGGAAAGAATTCCTTTGAAAATCACAATTAGTGAAGGTTCATAAAGTCCTTTGTTGGCTATTTAATTTGTTTACGTTTAATTACACCAATGACTGATTTGTAGCGTACCGCGTGCATTAAAGTATTAACTTTCTAAGAATTTCATTAAGAAACAAGTTTGAATTTTTTAGCAGTTTCTAAACATATCCATTAAGGAAATCGTAACTGTTTCTCAAAGTATAACGTTGTTCTTCTACAAAATGGATTTCCGTTTTCGTATTAGGACTAACAAATTCGACAAGGTTCGTTTACTGATAGGTCCCCGAAGGTAAATTCTGCATTTTCGATAGTTTCATTTTATGCATTTTCCACTATGAATGATTATAATGCAGGGTCTAGATTATACAGTATACATACCATGCCAACACTGTTTGACAAAAAAAATTACAACACGTATTTAACCTCCGATATTGTCTTATTCCTCCTTCAGACGGAATGATATTACGGGAAAGTCTGTAAATTACCACAGAAATCTATATAGATTCCCAAAAGGATCTCTACATTTTCAGAAAGATCCCCAGAAGAATTTGTAAATTTCTATAAATAAAAAATTTAATCCGAAATAGATGTTAAATTGCAAAATTTATAGAGTTATCTGAAAGATATGTAAATTTTCATAGATATCTGTTAATTGTCAAATAAAACTGTAAATTTCTAGACAGATTTTGGCAACTCTTTCGAATTCCCCCACATGGATAATAATAATGACAGTTAAACCTGTAAATTACTAATAGCAACTCGCATGGTCTTTCTACCCTTCTGTAGAATGCGCTAAAATATAACAAAATACGAAAGAATCGCGTACGATTTTCAGTAGGCAGTACTGCTGGATTGACTCTGTCAGTGGCACTAGGCAATGCAACTCTCACCCCCTCTCTCCTTTCCTTCAATTCACCCTTTTCTTACTTTTTACGACAATTTTTTCGCTATTAAAGATGGAACCTCCGATAAAAATAAGCTCCCCCACGTCGGCCAAGAGCTCAGAAAGTGAGAATAGGAATTGCGGTGCCATTTTTTTCCAAAATTACGGCAGCTACCCCGACAGAAGCCGGAGGAGTTTTCTTAACCTCACGAAAAGTTACCCCAATTATCGAAACTCCCCTAAGCCGGCGCACTGAGGTCAAAAATGAAAATCTAAAATTCCAAAAATCGCGGGAGCCGTATTATAGTTTTTAGCACTATTTTTCTCAAAGTTTGTGGTTAATGCTACTATACTTTCTTGTTTAAACAAATAGATTTGTAATAGGGGTCATAAAATATTTGACTTTAGCGGCTTACCAACGCGGAGCATAGATATAATAAAAATACTTCCAATTGTGAGCGTGATTTTTTAAACATGAAACAGTATAGATAAAAGAAAACAGCCAATATTTTCTTTAAGAAGAAAGAAAAATTCTTTATTGATTGAAAAATTTATACAGGGTGTTACATTTTTAAGGCAAACTTTTCCTGAATGTGCACAAAAGAGAGAAATTTACAAAACTTCTAGTTAATATGCAGTATGAAAAACTACAATTTTGGCGTAAAGTTCAGTTTGTAACTAACAAATAAATTGTACAGGGTGTTCGAAATTGCTTGTTTTTGGGATATTTTGAGAACTAAAAGAAGCAGAGTTGCACTTCTCGAAGTTACTTTTCAAAGCTGCTAGATTGACGATATCAATTTTGACGTTTGACTTGCGTGAACGTGGCAACACCGCAAAAGTTCAAAAATACAATGAAAATTTTTTGTTATAAATTGGTTATTTGTGGGAATATTAAAAAAAGTAGAAAGAATGGTAGAATAGTCTCGTAGTGAGGGCGTATTTTTATATCTTCCATAGCCAACTTACTTTTTAAGATACAGCATTAAATGTTTTTTTTGCGTCCTTATTTTCTTCATTTAGAAAAATACCTAGTTATCAGTATCTTTGATCCAAAAAAAATTTAAATAAATAGGAAAATTCAGTCATGAAAATATGGATTAAATACAAGTACGCCGTGGAGTATATAGTTCATATTTCAGGAAATGCTCAAAATAACAGTATTTCAATAGAATTTGCTAATTTATCTCAAATTTGACTGAAAGCTATATCTATGGTTTACTCAGACTTTAGATTGATTTATATTGATCACAGAGTTTAACTTCTAACATACTGATAATGATAACTATGTATTTTCCTAATTAGAAAAAAATCGGAATTTATTGCTGCAAAAAAATATTATACATTCTATTTGAAAAAACAAACTTTGGTGCTGTATCTTAAAAACTAAGTAGCCTATGGGAAATATTTAATACACACCCTTACTCAGAAACTATTTCTACGTAACTTTTATTCTGTCTAAGTTATAAAGTAAAAACTTTTTATAACATTTTTGGACTTTTGCGCTGTTGCCACGTTCCCACAAGTCATACGTCAAAATTGACATCGTCAATCTAGATAGCTTTGAAAAGTATTCGGAAAAGTGCAAACCGCAGCATTCTATATCCTTTAGTTCTCAAAATATCCCCGAAAAACATCGCGAACAAGCAATTTTGACCACCCTGTACAATATGTCCAAGAGGAGAACGTCTATTATGCGGATTTAGAAAACCATAGCATATACAATTCGAGAAACGTCGCGCAATTAATCAGTTATTACTTATATTGATGTAAATAGCAAGAAAATTCCGATTACTTCCGATGATATGTTAGAAAAACCGAAATTTACCGATTTTCTTTGTAATATTTTCTGATGTTTGAACAGGTACGAAAAAATAAAAAAAATACTTTCTCATTGCCACTCTTTCAGCTGTACAAGACCTTGTGGAGAGATTTTCAATATAACGTTTCATTTCGGAGAAATCATCTACTTTATTTTTTATATGGCGTGTAAAAAAGTACATACTGTATTGAGTATCATTTTTCATTAGGAATACAACTATGACCACACAAAAAAAAAACAAAAGCTGGAAACTGTTGGTTTCAACCACTGATCTTTGAGGTCAGTGGTTTCAACAGGATGGTGCACCTGCGCATTTTCCAGTTACCTGATGTTACTACCACTACATTAATCCAAACAGTATTTTTTTGCATGAATCTGTCTATTTCCCCATTAATTTCTCCCCAATGTCTTCAGACAGGCATACAAAATGAATGCATCGTCTTTTTTGCCTTTTTTTGATCTTCGATTTTCATATCCAATTTTATTAGCTATAATATGTACAAAAAGAAAATTTCCTCCAAATCGGTGCATTTTTAATGAAATTAAAACTTCCTTGTCTTTACTATTTAAGGAGCAAAAAATGGCATTTTCGTTCGATGAACGTTTCAATTTTTTTTTTTGGTGTGTGCACGGGGCCCCTAGTCGACCCGGGGCCCTTAGGCAGTTGGCTACTCTGCCTAATGGTTAATCCGACACTGTCAGTAGGGGATTTTTTTACTCTCAGCTCGTAACTATTTGTAACCACGACTTTTACTCTCGCTCATATTCACTAGCACTGATCCTTGAACTCGTAAGAATCCATTGGCGAAGGTCTCGAGTTAAATGAGGAATAGAGGCACAGACAGATGGACAAAACCAAAAAATTTTTCGAAAAATTCCCCCAAAAAGCTGAGAATTGGCTGAAATTTTAAAAGTGAAGCTCAGCATTTTCAAAACATGAAGGACGATGATACATATATATGTACGCATTGCGTAAAGAAGGGTAGAATATAATTTCTCAAGGAAATCTTACCAACCAACGCACTCACCCGCCTCATTCTCCAAAAGGGATAATGGGTCCTGCATCACAAATTTAAAAAACAACCACAATTTAACAACAAACAAAGACGAATCGTACTTACGACGACTCACGTATTAAATACAATACTAAGCGAGGTGGCAGAATTAATCTGAAGGTAGTTAATCATACATAAATATTGTCAAAATGTTTTCAAAACAAAAGAGGTTCGTGCTGACCTACGCTACCGCGGAAGGCAGGCTCATTGCGCTGACCTTCGCTTTGCACTAATTGTTATGATTTTCACCAACTTGAGATTGTTCATCATTTTTTTTTATTATTTTAAAACACAAGAACGTTTTATAAATAGCCCGTTTCTTAAAATTTTCAGGAAAGGTTTCTTAATTGTGTAGCCCGCAATGAATAACAAGGGGCTCTAGTAGAGAAGGCTTACCTTGCAATTTTCTATTTATTTTGAGGAAAAGGAGCTTTCGCAAACGCTGCACTTTTATCCTGAGAACTAGATTTTTCAAGACTTCTTCATAATTATAAGAGCGCACGTGTATAAACTATCGACATTTTTCATGAGTAATTTGCTTTAAAAAGTTAAATTGGTACATGTCTCAAGTGTTGATAAATTTCTCAAATAATCGTCACGTATTTTCGAATGTAATAAGTAAAAGTGATTAGTCGTCGCACGCGTTTAGTGTTATTTCTAAAAGGCTTAAATGGTACATTCAATTGGTACACGATGTTATAATAAAAGTAATAAATGTAAGTGCCCTTATAGCAAATCCTGAACGTCGATAATCCTCGGAAACGGCCACTTGGGGGGCAAAATCTATAGCTTTAACAACACGCCGCCGCCGCTCTTTATCCCTTATATCCCCACACTCGTCATTCTCCGCCACCCTTCCCAAACAGCCCAATTGTTTATGCATGTAATCTTGCATATCCTCCACCAACTGAAATAAATAACATAAAATCTTGGATATGATAATTCGAGTGGACGAAATCTTAAATAAACAACGGGGGTGTTGCGAATAGTATGGGAACAGTGGTCCTTTATTAGAATTCTACACGCATTTATATTAAAACTTTACCGAAGAAATATTTGGTATTTTGCACTGCTGGTCGTTTTTTTCGTTTATGTCAAATGAGTATTGATTAATTTATTGTGTAACCAATAATGCTTTTTCGAATTTCAGTCGTTCCTTTTTCGAGTTATTGAAAAAGGGCTAAAATTAATCCGCATCACCGCAACTGAAGAATTTATACAATGAATTATTTTTAGCGCATTTCCACAAAAAAAAAATGAGCTATTGTGGCCACTTTGTCCGTCCGTCCGCCCGTCCGTCTGGACGCTACTAGTTCTTTATCTTAAGAGCTATCGTTCTACTTTTTTCGCTATTTGCTTCGCTATTTGCTTCGTTATGGTGTCGAGGCTTGCACCAAGAAAGGAATTTTATCTGCGTTTCTTATTAAAAAAGAGCACGATAACTTTGGGCAAAAACGTCGGAACGCTTTGAAAATTCGTACGCATGTTCTCAAGTAACGGGTGATCAAAAATGAGTTACTGTCGAGTCGCCTTTGGAAGTTCAAGTTAAATACGATTTTCCATGTAAACAAAAATTTTAAAGGCGACTCGACAGCAACTCATTTTTGATCGCATAAAAGAAATTTGAAATATCTTCAATACTTTTGAAGATATGACAAAAAACGAAAATTTCTGATTTTCGTTTTTAATTTTTTTATGATATAAACTAATCGTAGTCGACATTTCTAGTTAGTACATTATTCGGACA